AGGGGGAGGAGAGGGAGAGGGGGGAAGGAGAGGGAGAGGAGGGGTTGTAAGCAATAAGAGAAGCAAGGGAACCAAACTTTCGTTCTCATTGTGCGATGGCGAAGCTCCTAACCATTGCACTATAAGCGTTGGTCGAGAGGATGTGGAAGAAAACTCGATTGGTTTTAAAAAGCAGGAATCAAATGTACGTTTACTAATATTAAAATTATGCTGATCTACCGAACACTATTGGTTTTTCAAGATTTTCTGGGATTGTTTCGATAATCTCACTTGTCATTCAGTTCAGTTCATGTGTGTGTGTGTGTGTGTGTGTGTGTGTGTGTGTGTGTGTGTGTGTGTGTGTGTGTGTGTGTGTGTGTGTGTGTGTGCGCGTGTGTGTGTAGGAGGGGGGGAGGGGTACCTCCTTTCTTTCTTTTTATTGTATCTGTTTTATACAATCTGTCTGCCTTTTTCTCTGCACTCAAACGGCTGTCGTTGTATCCGTGTGTGTGACTCTTCTTCACCAAAAACCAACAAACAAACTATTCCCCTGTCCCCAGGCTGACGACACCGGCAACTACGTGTGTACAGCGGAGAACAACGTGGGCAAAGACTCACAGAGTCGCCTCCTCAGGGTACAGGGTGAGGAATAATAATCGTAATCATAACAAGGAAAAGAAATCAAATGAGGTAGTGCTTGATGAAGCCGACGAGGGGCGCTCAGTGTTAAAAACAATCAGGAAACGCCAAATGCAGTTTTTGAGACACCTGAATAGACATAAGCGTCTTGAACATCTAGCTCTCACTGGCAAAATTGAGGGAAAGCGAGGCAGGGGTAGACCCAGAACAACATACTTAGAGAACCTATACAAATGGGTAACAGGGAAAGATCAGGGAAACGTAGCTTTTTTTAGAGCATCCGAGCAAAGGAATGAATGGAAAACCATGGTCGCCGATGTCTGTCGCAGATCTGGCACAGGATGATGATGATGATGAAGTATAATCATAATCATAATTGTTATCATAATCATAATTAATAATAACAATAGTACATGTAGAAGAAGAAGAAGAAGAAGAAGAAGAAGAAGAAGAAGAAGAAGAAGAAGAAG